CTCTCTCTCTCTCTCTCTCTCTCTCTCTCTCTCTCTCTCTCTCTCTCTCTCTCTCTCTCTCTCTCTCTCTCTCTCTCTGTGTGTGTGTCTGTGTCCGTGGGGGCACATGCGCACACGCCCTGAGAGCTAGTCTTGAGCTTGGAACTACCGTTGAATGGTGAATCAAATAAGTTGTGTGCCAATTTCCACGGAGAAAACGGACCGAAAGGATCTTTTTTCACATTTAAATGAACCAAAAGGTGACGAGTGGAGAGAGACACGAGGAAGAGAATGAAAAGAAGGGGCACTTGGAAGGATACGCCAAATAAATTAAACAGAAACAACTATCTATCTATCTATCTATCTATCTCTCTATCTATCTAAAAGGCATCTCGTTGCCCTATTGTCCAAGGCAAAGATGTCCATTCTCGCCACGCGCATAAAAGGAATCACCCACCATACACCGAAGAGTCGTTGTGGGGCAAGTGAGTGAAAAGCAGATCAGACGGCAGATTGCAGAACAAAACGACCATCAAAAGACCAGCTTAGTGTTTATTTCAGGGTTCTTCCTTCTTCTTCATAACAGCGACAATCAATTCATGTACCAGAATAAAAGTTTTACCTACCGAGACGCAAAATTACCACTACTGCATCCTGCCCTCGAGGAGGACGGCGACGAGCACATGGCAGGGCCAGTGGAAAATAGCATCGGTAAAGCGCGGGCGGTAAATAGCGGTGGCAAACGGCAGCGGTAAATGACATGCCGACGAGTGACGGTGTTAAAAGGCGGCGGTAAACGACGTGCCGACAAGTGACGGTGGTAAACCGCAGCGGTAGATGGCATGGCGACACGTGACGGTGGTAAACGGCAGCGGTAGATGACATGGCGACAAATGACGGTGGTAAACGGTGGACGTAAATGACGTGGCGACAAGTGACGGTGGTAAACACAGTGATGGTAAATGACGTGGCGATAAGTGACGGTGGTGAAAACAGCGATGGAAAATGACGTGGGGGGAAGTGACGGTGGCAAACGGCGGTGGTAAACGGCGTGGGAGCGGTGACGGTGGTAAATGGCGGACCTAGTTACATGACGTGGCGGGAAGTGACGGTGGTAAAAACAGCGATGGTAAATGACGTGGGGGGAAGTGACGGTGGCAAACGGCGGTGGTAAACGGCGTGGGAGCGGTGACGGTGGTAAATGGCGGACCTAGTTACATGACGTGGCGGGAAGTGACGGTGGTAAAAACAGCGATGGTAAATGACGTGGCGGGAAGTGACGGTGGCAAACGGCGGTGGTAAACGGCGGTGGTAAACGGCGTGGCGAGCGGTGACGGTGGTAAATGGCGGACCTAGTTACATCATGATGTGGCGGGAAGTGACGGTGATAAATGGTGATGGTAAATGATGGCGGTATACGGTGCAAGGAGAATAATTGCTGAGAAGAGGGAGGGGGGGAGGGAGGGAGGGAGGGAGGGGAGGGAGAGTTGGAGCGGGAGGACGGAGGGAGGCGAAGCAGGTGAAGAGGAGGAAAAGGGTGAGAGAACGAGGCTATGGCCTCCAAACAGAGTCACGTGCGTCCTGACATTCCTTCGAAGCCGGCGAGCACGTGGCGGAGAAGAGGAAGAAGTGAAAGGAGATGACGAGTGCGGTTGGCATCGAGGAAGGAGGGAGTAGTCAGAAGAAGCAGGGAACGTGCGAGGGTGCGAGAGGTGACACACCTGATTGATTGACGAAGTGCCCATCACGTCCTTGCCCGCCCCCTCTTTCCACCCTTAACCCTCCCCTCCCCTACCACCGCAAGCACCACGCGTCTCACGCTCTGCGTTCGTTTCCCACCTACCGGTAGTGCCACACGCGTTGCGGACTACCGGTAGCCCCACGTTCGCCGAGAAAGCGCAAGTTTTTCCCCAATAGAGTCACGTGCGTCCTGACATTCCTTCGAAGCCGGCAGCCAGAAGATGACGCAGATTGATATGCAACGAGGCTTTTGTGTAGGCTGGCTGGCTGGCTGGGTAATTGCCTTATGAGCTGCGGGCACGGGGTAGGCACGCGCAGGCGAGGGGCCGTGGCGGGCCGGGCCGGGCCGGGCCGGGCCAGGCCGGGAGGGGGCGGGGCCGGGCGGGGCGGGCGAAGCTGACGCGGACGCGGACGAGGAAGCTGCAGCTGAAACTGATCTCTTTCCCCGCGCTTACGAAAGAGAGGAGGGCGGGGGCGGGAGGTCTTTTCCCCCTTCGCCTCAAATTTGGGCTTTTTTTTGGCGCTCCCTCCCTCCTCCTACTACGACTACTCCTGCGACTACTGCTACCGTCTTCCTCCGAACATAACGCACCCTAAAAATGAATGTATACAAGCTATATTTCCGGCCAGATGCAGCCAAAATAAGGGTGCGCTATGTTCGGGGGAAGACGGCAGTACTACTACTATACTACTACCGCGCTAGTATTGTGTGGGTGGCTGTACGTCGCGCGCTTCCGCACGAAACGAAAACGAACTTTTCGAAAAGCGAGCCACCCAAGCTGGCTTTCGCTTTCGCTTTCGCTTTCCTTTGACTCCTCCTCCTCCTCCTCCTCCTTACCCTCGAAGCTCATCCCCGCCCATCCTTGGAACCGACGCCCTACCGGTCCGTACGTAGTCACCCAAAACGAAAACTCGACGCTTGTATTGTCTGTTATTGCATGTTTTTGCGTATTGCCTACCAGGCTACCGCGGCGCCAAAGTCGCACAGAAATCTCCATCCTCCCCGCCAGGAGAGCACTACCTCCTCCCCCGAATAGACGCAAGGCGACAACTCGACGGCCACTTTCGCATTCGCACTGGAATATCAACCGCCACTTTTTTTTTTTTGCATACCCATTGCGTGATCGGAGTTTCGAATCCGGCAGAGGATGCTCGCGACGGCAGAGGATGCTCGCGACGACTCGCCTTACCCTTGCACGCCAAACAATCTGTGAATAAAATTATGTGAATAAAATTATAAAAAACAAAAACAAAAAAACAATCTGTCAAGGAGAGGAAATACGAATCCCAGTTCGCTCTTTTTCCTTCGCATCGCATGTCTTGGCGCCCGAGGCACATGTCCACCTCCAGCAGGCGCAAATACGAACGAACCAACGAACGAACAAACAATTGAATTGAGGGTTCAATTGGAAAAGCCCGTACAGAACAAAAAGCCGTGTACTGTGGCGGCACGGATGTCCCGTTGGAGATGCGTTTGAAAGGCTCCGAGAGGAGGTTCAAATTGGTCACATGCCAACCCTCGATTTCGAGCTCGCCTTTCAAACGCAGCCCCTGGCCCTAAATGCACCTTCTTTTGATTTGGATCACAGTTGCACCATGCAGTAACCCCCTAAATGCACGGCTGCCCCTGGCCCAGCGGCATTTTCCAGTAGCGGACATCCGACGAACCTAGGAAACAAAATAGCCGGTGGGTGCATCGAGCGGAGCGAAGCTGCTTGGGTGAGGTGAGGTAGCGTTGTGAACGAGGTCTGGCGGCGAGCGCCGCCGCAGTTAGGTCACCATGCATGCTGGTCTCATCCGCCGCTGCCGTCCCTAGCTATGTAGTTAGGCATTGTGTATGCTGGCGTGCTAAGCGAAACGAGCGTTGGTGTGTGGCTGTGGCGTGCTTGCGGGATGTCACTCATTATACCTTTATGGAGCCTGATCAGTGTGCTTATGCACGATTGATCATAGTTACGGAGCGTTGTTTGTCATTCCATTTTAGGCGTTGGCCTGGTGTGAAACTGGCGTTTCAGAAGCGGCAATCACCGAGGTGAGCGTTGTATGAGGCGCCAACCCTTCAAGGTTATATTTCCACGTCGAGGAATTGTTGTCGCCAAATGAATTAGGACGGGGATGTGCAAATCTATGGTGGCTCGCGGAAGTAATTATATGGGAGCGAATCTGACAGGAAGCAAACCAGTTACTATTATCGTGAGCGTTGTATTTTGCGGTATTGTTGGCTGAACCAAGCAAGAACTATTGGACAAAATGTGAAATTGGCTCGTATGTCCTAAGCGGTGTTTATATTTTCTCCATAAATTTTGTTTTTCCGTCTTGGTGATGGAAGCAACAACACTTATTGGTTTTCTAAGGCTGCGTATGTGAGGTCTTGTTTTTTTTAGTTTGAAGCTCTGATTAGTCATGGATTATTCTTGTTTTTTTTATGTTGTCGTGCTTCTTGTAAGTAATAGGGTTAGAGTTATATATGATATTTGGTCGTACTGTGGTTTTCATTGTTATGGATTGCTTTTCAGTTATGTGGGTGTTGTTTTCTTATTCTTTAGAGTTTGTGCGGTGTTTCTTTCAGCCAATAAATTGTAATGGTTTGCAATAAGCAGGAGAGGGGCGAGAAAGCGAGAGTGAGTGGGAAAGAGACAGAGACAAAAAGAAATAAAGAGAGCCAGAGAGAGTCAGAGAGATAGCCGTCTTCGTTCGTGTTGCCTTGAATAAACTTTGTTCTTAAACCGCCCGTACTTGGCCCAGTTATCGGCAACATAAAAAAAAAATAGCGTAAAAATATTTATAATCGGATGAATTTGGGCGCTCTTATAGTGGCCCGTACGTTTCCTAAAATTGTGGTTTGTTAACGGGTGCGACTTTAGGAAGTACTAGTGGTTTAAGGGTATAAACAGATTGATTGGTGATCAACCTTTAGTTTATGACGACTATGAATACTTTGATGCTGCGTTGGGTTACTTTACTTTTCACTAACAATTTTCACTTTCAACAATTCAAACTTTACTTGTGGACCACATTACCTTTGATAAGTTTCTTTTTCAAGGGTAAAGAGGCGTATAAACTCATGATCAACCTTTATTTGTGGCAAGAAGGTTTCATTGTACCATGGCTGAGGGAAGATTTCATGTGTTGTGCTATTTGTTAGTTGTGAGGATGTGGGTCACAAATAACGGGTATGAATCATTTGACGTTGCATTGGGTCATTGTGCTTTTCGATAGCAAGTTTCACTTTTAGCGAATCAACCTTTGGTTTATGTTATGGTCAGTTGCGGATTAATTTTGAATTTTTTAATTTTGTTATAGTGTTTTATGTGGGAAGTAAGAGAGAGGTGAAAGAGGGAAAAAAAATTGTTTTGGTGTGCGTTGCCTTTTATAATAGAGTGAAAGATAGACTGAAGATCAACCTTTACCTATGGCAAAACAAAATTATCATATCGTGGTTGAGGGAAAATTTTGGGTGTTGTACTCCTTGCCAATTGTGAAGATGAGGGCTACGAATAGCGGATACGAATCCTTTGACATTACATTGGGTTATTTTTCTTCTCATTGCAATCTTCATTTTTAAAGAATGATGACCATGTATATTTTATACCAGAATTTTTCAACAAATTATTTTTTTACGTATTACAATACCTTACATTAATAGGTTTGGTAGATGGAGGAGGCACGTTTCTTCGATGAGAGGGACTGTGCAGATGCACTTACAACTTGTTTGCGTCAATAAGTAAGTTGGCATATACAGTGAGTAGGTTTGTTGGATAGTGTGATCATTTATTCCCTATAGTTTAAAAGACAGTAGGTGCGTTAGTCGGTAACCTACTTGCAATCTTTGTGTTACTTATAGGAGGGGGCAAACTCGTGAAGAGTAATATTTTTTGTGAGGAAACTGACTAGCTGGGATAGAATCCAATACTCCTAGAGGTGTAGAACAACCCAACTATCATGGTTTATTTGTAATTGGATGTATTGTCTTCGACACTAAGTCAATTTATAATAAAATAATTTGACCTCTCCCCCCCCCTAAAAAAAAAAGAGGAATCGAGGGGAAAAAAAAAACAAACTAACAATAATAATCACAGAAACTCAGGAAATGGGTATCATAATTTACCTTAACTTCTACTAATTGTAAGTTAACATCCGTCTCCCTATGAAGTTTTTGTCAATCATCCTTACTATCGGGATTGTACTCAAAGTGTTATGACTTAATGTTTCCGATCGCAAACACATATCGGTTAAATAAAAACAAATAAGAAAAAAAAAACTACAACAATTGCACAATTAATTTATCCCCCCCCCCCCCCCCGTTCTACTCACTTGTTACTATATGTACACGCTTGTGTGATATAATCTTGTCTATTGATAACTCCATATAAAAACGTTGAGCCGTGCGATACAATTTTATTTGACTTCACCTACTCATTATAAGGTTCGACTCTAATAGTCCAGCCATAATGCATTCGATTGTTTAACAAAGCACTTCTTTTGATTTGGATCACAGTTGCACCATCCAGTAACCCCCTAAATGCACCGCTGCCCGTGGCCCAGCGGCATTTTCTAATAGCGGACATCCGACGAACCTAGGAAACAAAATAGTCAGTGGGTGCGTCGAGCGGGGCGAAGCTGCTTGGGTGAGGTGAGGTACCGTTGTGAGCGAGGTCTGGCGGCGAGCGCCGCCGCAGTTAGGTCACCATGCATGTTGGTCCCATCCGACGCTGCCGTCCCTAGCTATGTAGTTACGCATTGTGTATGCTGGCGTGCTAAGTGAAACGAGCATTGGTGTGTGACTGTGGCGTGCTTGCGGTGTCGAGCGCATCGTCCCTCCCGTGAACGAGGGCCCTCCCGGCAATGTCACGCAGGAGTTAGAAAAACATAATCGAGAGACAACTTAGGACGATGCAGAAATAATCCCGCGAACCGCCGAGACGGACGTGGTCGCATTGTCCCTTCGCCGCTCTAGCTGGGTGCGCCAGCTATATATCCCGCGGTCCTCTACGGCAGGATAGGTTTTCGCGGGGCACAACTTATCTTCCCTGAGGGGCTATCACCAC